ATAAATCAGTTAAATGACGAAAAATTAGGTGTCGATTTACTTGTGACCATTCAGTGTATATTGAAAACCTTAAAAGAACATAAATATTTCCAGCGATGCTGGGACGAGAAATAATATTTTTATGTTAAAACCCCTTTTCCGCATATAAAATGAAATTGATTATATTAAACTTAATTTGAAATTGAGGATAAATACAGAAAATGTTATTGTTCTAAAGACACCTCATTCAGTGCTGTAGGTACGTCAAAGTGACTGTAAGAAGGTAAATGCATTTATTTCGTACATTATGGTGAGGTCTGTTTTCCAACAACAAATATTTGACATAAAACATTTTTACGTACGATAATGTAATGAAACTCTAATCAAATGTTTGAGCTTATATGCAAAACTGTTAATATTTCAATAATACTTTCCAGAAAACAACTAAAGCATACGGTTACAGTATATACAAACTTGCAATGCTCAAAATGTAAGAATTGCGCAAATAAAAAGGGCTTGGTGGTTAGGGTTGGAATCCCATCACCGAACATGCTTGCACTTTTAGCTGTGGAGCGTTATAAAGTGACGGTTACTCCCACTATTCGATTAGAGCAGCCCGAAAGTTGTTGTGAGTAGTGTGGACTACTAGTTGCCTGACCCCTTTAATCTATCACTTCTAAGTTATAGGCGGCTTGCGCATATAGATGGCTCTCGAGTAGTTTGAACGAAATTCAAACAAACTAACAAATCAAATAAAATATGAGCATTCGTAAATTAAAACTATTTGGTGTAATTTGGATGTAGTGATGTAGCGTTATTTACAGGATGTTTCATCAGGTTAAGAAGTTACACTCACATTACTTAAACCGTTCAAAGAAAGTTAAAACAACTCTAACCCAGAAACACACTACACTATAAGTATCTCTTTGGTCATCAGAACACAGATTCTCTGTAGCTTTATTTCCATGGATGCTTTTGGCTTCCAATCTTTTAGCAGTCAGTCGATGAGAGACAATGAATTCAAATGGGGAACTTTAATAGGACCAATTCTAATTTTAAACTATGACTATTTTGTAATTCAACTGCATTATTTCCTATACGACTGCACCTGAGATACTGTATAGAATATTATGATTTTTCCGGTACTGCTTGTTTATAACTTGATGTTATGGACAGTTCGGCAATTTTTAGCTATATTTATATCGTCATTATGCAGAACACATCCGTTACACTAATGTGCACTTTTGGTTGATCAACACTACTATTCAGCACTCGAAACGTTTAGGTATCTTCTGTATATGAACCCCTTTGTGTGCACCAAACTGGAATTCTCGTGATTAAACAATTATTCTATTTCTTTAGAAGTGTTTTAAATACTGATTTAACTGTCACAGTATCCACATAGATAACAGAGTTCACACATTTGTGGTACAATTATATAATCAGTCTGATTTTCAAATTTCAGGTTCTCATGATTTGGATCTGACAAGCTTTGGTTCAAAAACTGAATATATTAAATTAAGCCATAAACGCTATTTAGAAATGAAACACGATCATGTTGAATACTTTTGATATATTCTATCAATTTCTCCATTATATATCACTAGCAGAGTGCCCGGCGTTGCTCGGGTGAAAATGGCTTTAAATACCCTGAGTTATTTTGATTAAATCAACCATATTAATCGTGATGTTTTGCCAAACAATCAAAA